TTTATTTATTTATTTATTTATTTATTTATTTATGGGTTTATATAGCATGTTAGATGGAGCTGGTAGTCTTCTTGGCTCAGCGTTAACTTGCAGCTTTTGCTAGAATGAGCTCCAGTCGAGGCAATTTTATACAAAATAAACGACATTAGTTACACTCCGAATATATTACCAACAAATGCCCAACTGAATATAATGACTACAATGTTTTTATTTTTCGTATTTTCTACTTTTAGGATAGTCAAATGTCTGATGGCAGTCAACGGTACAGCGACGACTCTGGAAGCTCGCAAAAAGACGAGCCTCTGGCCACCAGCTCTGACAGCTACAAATCACAGTCGGACAAGCGTCTCCATGGCAAATCAGATAAAATGGCGACCTCGAATCCTTTTGCAGCGCCAGTCGCAACCACACCGGACAATCAGAGCCTCGAGGAGGAGGAGCTGCCCACCCCTGCGCTCTGTACCTCCCTTTCGCCCTCTTCGGCTCCTCCCTTTCACATGCCGCCCTGTTCGACAGTCGCCAATCACGAGCATCACATGTTCATGATGCCCTCGGAGGTCCATCTCATTCGTCAGCACCATCAACACGTGGTAGACACCAGTTCTGAGTGCATGACGCTGCATCTGCAATTGTCAGGTCGAGCAGAAGCGACTGTCGAGCAGCACTTGATGTCGGCTCCGACGACCGTTTCAGCCGAACACGCAACTCTTCTGCCGCCCTCAACGTCCCTTCCACAACCGTCACAACTGCCACGACCTCCACAACCGCCACGACCTCCACAACCGCCACAACCATCACGACCGTCACGATCGTCACAATCGACACAAGCAACACAGTCAATCCTGTCGCCAACTCAACAGTCTCTACAACTACACACACCCCTTTTGATGATCCCACCGCCCAATAGACCCAGCGCAGACGAGATCAGGCGGCCAACTGTCCTATCACCCACGCATTTATCCTCATCGCAGCCGCTCACCTCCCACATAAGCCAATCACTCAATCAACAGACATCGTTTGACGACCAGACTCTGCTGCTGCTGGACGATTCCCCTCTTCCCTTGTCCCATCTTCCCAGCACAACTCCATCCCCTAACATGCCATTTCAAGCGCCCATTTACTCCCATCCATTTCT